GTTGGAGCATCCGTGCTGGCTTTTCTTCTTTCTTTCTTGCGTGCGCGATGAAGACGGAATGGTTTTTTCTTCCTTTTTTTGTTGCGCTACATAGAAATGGGGAGGGAGTAATGACCTTGTTCTTGACTTGTTAATGAAGGGTTTGGACTCTGGCCCAAATTCAATCTCTTTTTCCACACTTGAACTTTAATTTGGCCTTTTGCTACACTTTTCTCAACAAATAAGATATCTGATAATTTGGGTTAGGAAAAATAAAATAAAAATAATAGAATAAAAATGATTTAAAAACTACTATTTATGAAAGAAAATAAAAAGAATGTAAAAATGAAAATAAAAATAAAACTAAGCTAAAAAACTAAAAATTAAAATCTAAAAGTATTAAAAATACCTAAAAAGAATAAAAAGAACTAACCCAAAAACGACTTATCAATAACGTTGGAATTTGGTATCCAAAAGGTTCTTTTTGTCACCTCATTGGCTACTCCAACTCGGACTTTGCTGGTTGCAAGTGAGACCGCAAAAGTATGAGTGGGACTTGCCACTTGCTTGGTAGCTCTTTAGTCTCATGGTTTAATAAGAAGCAAGTCAGTGTTGCATTATCCACTACCGAAGTAGAATATGTTGTCGTCGGGAGTTGTTCTGCTCAAATTCTTCGGATCAAACAACAGCTCGTGAATTATAGCCTTAGTATCAATCATGTCCCTCTTTGATGTGATAATACTAACGCAATAAGCTTGACGAAGAACCTCGTTCTTCATCCAAGAATGAAATACATTGACATTAGGCATGATTTCATTAGAGATCATGTTCTCAAAGGTGATGTCGAAATTGAATTCATTGAAACGAAATATAAATTAGCTAACATCTTCACAAAACCTTTAGAGAAAGAGTCATTCTTCCACATTCATAGTGACCTCGGAATACTTCACACCACGATGATCTAAGTTGTGCATTTATTTCATGGTAAACATTTTTTAACTTGAGCGTCGGAGGCTCTTTAAAATCCTTTTTGCAGGTATCCCATGAAAACATTGCAAAAATCAGGGGGAACCATGGTAACAACAGTGTTAGAAAGTAGACATCGATGTTTGAACAACTATGTTACACATCCAACATTGATGTTAGTAAAAGTCCAAGCTAAACGAGTTTAACTCATAATGTCTTGTAACAACGGTGTTACAGTGCCAACATCGATGTTAATAAAAGGGCAAGTCAAACCAGTTCATTCAAGATGCTCAAAGCATCGATGTTCATATACCTATAGCTATGTTGCAATGAACCATGCAAAAATAGTTCAACACGGGATGTTTCATAACAGCGATGATGTGTACCCAACATCGACGTTTCACGGAGTTTTTGTATTTCAACATTTTTTCAGAATGTGTTTGAAGAACGATGTTTGGGAACCCACATTGATGTTGAAACTTAAAAATTTTAAAAACTTATTGTACAATAACGATGTGAAGGACTGAGCATCGATGTAGCAACAACAATGTTGTTGGGTCAATATCAATGTTCTAGGCGCTGATTTCAAAAATATATCCGTTGGAAGCCACCTTTAATGCTCCAACAGTTTTGTTTTTGAATTCCGAATAGCTCTTATACCACATTCTCATATACACACATGCCCATACATCTTTTTTCACTCACAAATATCTCTTTGCTTGATATTCTAGGCATACTCTTCTATCTTTACAAGTCTTTATCCCAAACTCTTGCAATGGCTACTGTGAAATCGAATAGAAAATCCTATGGAACCTCGAGCTCCAACGAGTCTAAATTCAACTACTTGGATGGCTCGTTCCTATGGTTGAAGAACAAGGAGGAACTTACCTGGTTTCTCACCTACTTTGCTAACCGGGCAGTGGCTCCTCTAAGGACTCTTTCGGAGAACTATCGGGACAAGAAGGGATACAACACACTGGATGCTCAGCTCCATCAATCGTGGTTATGGCCTTTTGTCTCCAAATACCGGAAGAACTTCAATCGAGCATTAGTTCAGACCTTCTACTCCAACCTCCACGAGAAACAGAAGTCGTTTACTCTATGGTCAAATCCCAACCCATAGAGCTCACTGTGGAGAGGCTTGGACATATCACAGGGCTGCCTTTCTAAGGAGGCGACATCTCTGACTATGGTGGAGAGGATTGGGTGCTCAACAACGAAGGGTTGGTCATAGAGGAACTTGATATCAACGAACTCATTCGGCATGTCATGGGATGCTCGACATATCCACTCAGCTACTCCAAAGAACCTGATGTTGCTCTGCATCATCACCCGGATCCTTAAATCTCGAGATGGGAGCCACACCATGATGTTTGGTGAAGATCTCAAGATCATCCACTCTATCATGCACGTGGCACCTGTAACGCCACAATATATGGCCTAAAATTTATTATAAAACAAAAATAGTTTTGAATATCATTTTGGTCTAATAAGGAATATTTATACGTTTGACCAAAATTGAATGGATTTTCAAAATAATGACTTTTTTTTAAATACTTATTTTCATGGATGTCTCGAAAATACAAATCCAACGGTACATTTTATGAACCAATCTGATTTATAGATTTCAAACTATGACAATTTTAAATATTAAAATTTATAACTTTGACCCATAAATTAAACTCAATTCAAAAGAGATTTCATAAGATTAAAAATCTTAATCTTTGACAATTGACAATACCATATTCATCATTTGGATTTAATTCATATGTTTTTATTTTGTTCATATTATTGAATTAAATTATGACTGAGACAGACCCAGACATTAAAAAAAATAAAAGTTCTCAGAAAAATATTTTGATTACGTCAAAATTCTAGTTTTGACAGTCTCATTCCAAAAATGCAATCCGTTTTCAATTCAGAGCAGTTTGGGCGAAAAAGTGCGTACCGTTTAGGATAAATTTATCAGTTTGGACTAAAAGCCAAACTTCATTTTCCTAAAAATCCCATGCATATCACGGATCAGCCACCTAAAGTCTTTCCCTATATAATACTTCCAAAGTATTATGCTATAATACTCCCACCAATCCTCCACCAAATCCACCACCACCATCATCATCTCCCATCATCCACCCACAACACTCCTCTCTCTTTCGGGAGGAGAGAGGAGTGTTGTGGGTGGTAGTCCTCCCCATTCTCTCTCTATCGGTCAAGCATCAAAACAAGGGAAAGAAAGTTTCATCTCCATTATTGTGCTAAGAAAGAAGAAGAAGAAGCAAGAAACCATCCAAAATTTCCAAAATCCTGAGTTCAAAAACGCAGCAGCAACTTCATGGTAAAAACTGAACTTTTCCATTCATTATCTCGAAAAACGTTCTATACCAAAGTTGTAGCTCCAGATGTTACGAATCTAACCCAACAAACGGTTCGCGATTTAGTTAAGTAACGAAGGAGATATGACCAAAATACCGGGACTGCACCAGTGGTGGCGAGCTCCTCGGGTTGGCTATGTTTCTTCACCATATTTATATATTTTCATTCCAAACACTCATCATAAACTCTCTAACGGTTATTAGGAACTTCCGAAAGTTATTTTCAAAAAGGTTGGACGTTGGAAGCTCGAAGTTGATAGGGGTGACCGTACGTTGAACGTTCGTTGAGACATTATCTTTTTACGTTTCATGTTCATCATCGAATATAAGGTCCGTACCCTTGCGTTAGAATTATCGAATCGTTCATCACATGTGTACATGAATATATATATATATATATATATATATATATATATATATATATATATATATATATATATATATATATATATATATATATATAAATTCATATGTTAAAAACATATCCAAATATATATATATATGTGTGTGATACATATATATGTCATATATGTGTTGAGATCAAAATGCACCAAATCCATAAAGTTAATATACACATAAGTATATATAAACATTGGAAATCAACCCAACAACATATATATGTTAATCAAAGGTGTTTAAAAGACTTAAAGAAGTATTTTAGACACTCAACATATCAAGAATAAGTTTTGCAAACCCGAACGGTCGATGCAAATTGTATATTGTTGCATTAATCGTCAAAACGGACTACGATTGTCAACATAACGGTCGACCGCCGTAGCCAAACGGTCAACCGTCCCAGCCGAGCCGAACGCAGCCACGTCCCAGGCAGCCAACAACGGTCGACCGGCGGTCAAGCACAGTCGACTGTCACGGAGATCCGAACCCCTGAGATGATTTGAAGCACGGTCGACCACCGTGTCAAACGGTTGACCGTTCTTAGCCCCGTAACTTAATTAAATGATATTTTAATCATGTTTCAACCAAATAAACTCATGCATGATTATATATTCATATTTTTTGCAAATTGTTCATATTATATGATTTGTTTCATCATTCATATTGAAGCATATCACATCATACGCATGCGTAACATATCATGCCTCGTGCGTCTCTTATAGCGTGATTGTGCGGGACTTAGCAATCCGATATCACACGTTCGGAATTAGTGTACGTACATGGTATTCAGGATTTCAAGTACCACCCTCATCTTGTTTCTAGTCTCATTCGTGAGACTAAGGTGGCGTGAGTTCGTCGTACAAACTGGGCGAATCTCATAGCGCAAGGGTCGTCTTTGCACGTTAGTTTCATGCATCATGTTATCATCATCAAGTACAATTATATTGATTACATAGGTCTTCATGTAATCATCAACAAGAAAAATCAAATTGATTAAATATACAATCATGTTATCATCATCAAGTACAATTATATTGATTACATAGGTCGTCATGTAATCATCATTAAATATTTATCATCATGAACCATCAACTTGATCATATAATATGATGTGCCATATGATGAATATTATTATACATTTTTGTGGACGTGTGTGTGTGTGTGTATACACACACACACACACATATATATATATATAGATGGCCGGAATATCACCAGAAAGCTCTGCCGGAGAGCCTACTGTAAAGGTCAGTCGTTTAATTTCTGATGTAGTTGTTTCAGGTGTTACTCATCCTCTTCAAGGTAAAAGTCTTGGCCATTTCAAGGGCATCCCTACGGTTTCTTTCCCCAAAGAGGACATCCTTCTTCTAAGCAACTGTTTCAAGTTGGCTATGATCGGAAGCTTTCAACGCAGGCCTCCTTTTCCGGTTATGGAGGCTTTCCTGAACAGGCTTGGTCTCTGTGGCAAATTTTCCTTCTCCATCCTTTCCCACCGGAAGTTACTGATAAACTTCATGGCAGAAGAAGACTACATTCGCGTCTTATGTCGCAAGACATGGGATGTTCATGGCAGAATCATGAGAGTCACCAAGTGGAGCCCTGCCCTTTCACCTGAGATATATAATCCGGTCGTTCTGGTGTGGATCTCCATACCGGACCTGCCTATACATCTTCATGACATGAGAGCTCTCAGACTTATCCTTTCCCATCTTGGCAACCCTATCATGGTGGATCTCAGCACCAAGAACTTCTCTCGTCCAGCTCTAGCTAGGGTCTGTGTAGAGATGGATGTCTCTAACCTCCCGGTTCCCAAGGTCCTCATCATTCATGATCAGGAAGAGTTGATCTTCCCCATTTTATTTGAAAATCCGCCGGAATAATGCAAGAAGTGCCGGAAACTTGGTCACAGCGCCGGTAAGTGTGGTGGGGTCAATTGGGTACCAGACCCTGTTTCGAAACAAATGAATGGAGACACCACTGCCAAGCTTGTGGACACCACTGCCAAGCTGGTGGACAAAGGACAGAGGGAGGGGAAAGAGCACGTGAAGGAGGATATTTGGCAAACAGTCCATTCCAGAAAACATAAGTCCAAAAAAGGCAGGCTTTGGCAGGTGAAAAATCCTAATCTAATGGAGGAACAAAAAAATACGTCCAACTAAAAAGATGGCCCAGGTGAGTCATCTCAATCTGGGGGTTCTCAATCCCACGTGATTTTGCATGATACTAGTTTGAGCCATTTTGACAACCCCAAGGTGGTTTTCAAAGGGTCCACCTATGCCATCAATGATCCAAACTTCCTCATGACGAATAGCATGCGGCATCTCTTCCAGTATTCCACACTTTCTCCTATCCTGGAGGAAGTTCCCTTAAATGAAGAAAGATCACTAGTTCCTTTCAGGGGTTTTCGGGATGATCATGGGCTTCCTCCTTTTCAGCATGATTTTGGTGGAGAAACATGCAGATTCTCTGATGGCGATTGTGTGGACGACAGAAATAGTGAGGAGGATTTTCTTGAGGAGTTCCCTAATGTTTCCAGGGGAGGAGGTGATATCCTGGATAGTCCACTTCCCAAATCCTCTTCTAAAGCACGCACACATGCCATGGTCACTAGAAAAATGTCATCTAACAAATTTGCCCCCCTTTTGTCTCCATGAATAGTCTTTTCTGGAATATTCGAGGTGTACATTCTTCTCTTCCTAGGCTTCTTTCTCTCAAAAAAGATCACAAGCTTCTGTTTATTTCCCTCCTTGTGCCTCTTCATAAATCCTCCCTTATCTTTGAATGTTCTACTACTCTTGGTTATTCAAAATGTTTCAGTTCTCTCAACAACAAACTGTGGTTCTTTTGGGATGATTCCATTCTTATACTCCAAGCACTTAAGGAAGAACCACAAGTCACCTCTTGTCTTTTCTTTCATGTGCCTACTCAAAAACTGATTTGGATCTCTTCAGTCTATGGTAGACATTCTAGGGTGGACAGACTTGACCTTTGGGAGTCTCTAAAGGATCACAAAACTACTGATACTCCTTGGCTGGTGGGAGGGGATTTTAATGCGATCACCTCTTATAATGAGCACAAAGGTAAAAGCACTCCATGCCATCTTAGTATGGATGACTTCAACGATGTTATTGACTACTGTGAATTATCCTCTCCACCATAAACTGGGGGAACCTTCACTTGGTTTTGTAATAGATCAAAAGGTAGAGTCTTCAGAAGACTTGATAGAGTTCTTACCAATGAGAAGCTTTTTGATGTATTTAGTGGGGTTTCTGTCAAGCATAAAGGAAGAGGACTTTCAGATCATAAAGCTCTTTTGGTGCTTCTAAATAACCCTATTGTGTCCTGCCCTAAGCCTTGGAAGTTTGGATATCTCATCCGGGCTTCAATAAAGTGATTTCTAATAACTGGGATCCAATATATAGAGGAGGGGGAATGAAAGAACTAGCTGTTAGACTCTTGTCCATTTAGAAGATCCTGAAGAAATGGAATGTTGAAACCTTTGGAGACATCTTTAAGGGAGTCAGAGATGCTGAAAATAGAGCAATACTTGCTCAGGAAAAACTGGAGCAGGAGGACAGTGAGGTGGCTCTGTTGGAAGCCAACTTAGCTAATGCTCTTCTTACTCAAGCTTGTAAAAAAGAAGAAATCTATTGGGCACAAAAAGCTAACATTAACTGGCTTAAGAATGGTGATGCATCCACCAAATACTTTCATTCAGTTCCTAGGGCCAAAAGGCACTCCCTTAAAATTAATAGTGTCAAGAATATGCAAGGTGTTAACCTCACTTCTGAGGTTGACATCTCCAACGCTGCTGTGGAATATTTCACTAATATCTTCAAGTTTAGACCTGTGGGACAGTTGAATCAGGCCCTTGAACACATCCACACAAATATTACTCTAGATGATAACCTATCTCTTACCAAAATTCCAAATAAAGAGGATATAAAATCATCCATTTGGAAGCTATATGCATCTAGTGCAGCAGGTCCCGATGGCTTTAATGGAACTTTCTTCAGGCATTGTTGGAGCACCATTCATCTCCATGTTACCAAAGTTGTCCAAGAATATTTCATTGGAGTCCCCATCCCACAAGTTTTTGGCAGTACCACCATCACACTCCTCCCTAAGAAGGAGACCTACACTAGCTTTGATTACTATAGGCCACTATCTCTCTCTACATTCTTTAGCAAGATCATTACCAGGATCCTTAGTGACAGACTCAAACTCTTACTTCATAAACTCATTTCTAAAGAGCAGGTAGCCTATCAGATAGGTAAGGATATTGAAGAACATATTTTACTTACTAAGGAGATGGTTCACATGTTAGCCTCTGGCTATAGAGGGAGCAATATCATTATTAAGTTGGATCTCTGCAAAGCTTTTGATACCCTCAGTTGGGAGTTTCTGGAAACCATTCTCTCTAAGTTTGGTTTCACCCAGCATAGTCTTCTTCTGCTTATGGGTATTCTCAAAGGCACTTGGTTCTCTATACTAGTAAATGGGCTTCCCAGGGGGTTTTTTCCAATGAAATCTGGAGTTAAGCAAGGAGATCCCCTTTCTCCTTTGCTTTTCATTATTGCTATGGAAGGTCTCAGCCAAGAGATAAAACACCAAATGAATATGGGTTTTATCAAACCCTTCCACACATGTCTCATTAAAGCTCCCTCTCATCTTTTGTATGCAGACGACTTGATTATTTTTACAAATGGAGAAAGCAGGATTCTTCTCAAGATCCAACATATCCTTTCAACCTTCATGCTAGCCTCTGGTCAGAGTATTAATCTCTCCAAATCCCAGATCATTGTTCATCCAAAGCTTTCTAGAGACAGAAGATCCCTCATTTCCAGTATTACAAACATTAAAACATCCTCTGGAAGCTTTAAATACTTGGGTTCCTATATTGACAAAGGGAAGCTTAGAAAGAAAGACTGCACTCACTTGATGCTACACTTTGAAAGGAAAAATTCTTCCCTGGCACAGCAAGAGACTCAACCAAATGGGCAGGTATGTCCTTATCAAGCATGTGCTCTCAGCTATTCCAATGCATACACTACTCATCCAGGATCTTCCCAAATCTGTCATCACCAGTCTCAACAAAATGATGGCAAATTTCTTACGGGGCAGTAGGGAGACAAAGAACAAACATCACTGGAGGAAATGGGCAGACCTTTGTTACTCCCTGGAGGAAGGAGGCCTTGGATTCAGGAGCATTGAAGATCTTCAGGCAGCTGCTGCACTTCAAATGTGGTAGAAAATACAACAAGGAGGTACTATCTAGAGTAACTACATGATGCAGAAGTATTTGAGAAATGGAGATTTCAGAGCCAAGATTTATGACTCTTGTTCATGGAAACGGATCTGCAAAGCTGCAAGCATGGGCTTTCTTCACACCAACAACTCAGATGGGGTAACCACATGGCTTAGAGGGAGCTTTTCTTTCAAGGAGGCCTATAGAGCATGCACTATAAATAGTCCCAAGCTCATGTCTTGCTCTTTCATTTGGAGCAAGTGGCAAACCAGGAAAGTTCAGTTTTTCACCTAGAAAGCATTCAATGGTCTTCTTCATTTCCACGAACAATTGATGAAAATGAATATCTCTCCCTCCCCTTGCCCTTTTTGCCTAGGAAACATTGCCACTCTCGATCATTATTTACTTCACTGTCATGTGCTCCATGAAATTTGGCGAGACTATGCTATCCTTAGTAATGGACCTGCTAGACGACCACTTCATAACCTCAGACAACACTTGCTAAACTGGTGGATTAATTCGAACCGAAGCTGCCTTAAAGGGAAACTCAGACTAATCCTGCATGGCTTGTTAATATGGCACTTCTGGAAGGCCTATAACAAGTGCATTCATGATGGAAAACCTTTCTCTCCAAATAGTGTTCGTTGTCAAATTAACAGGACCCTACAAACCTGGTGTTGGGCAAACAATGAAGATACAACTACTCTATATTTAAATCCTATTACTAGTTTTGGTCTGCATTGTATCAACCGGGGTAAAGCTACCTAGAGCTTTCACCCTTGGCCTTTGTATGTTCCTTTCTTCCTTTTTTTCAATAAAAAGCCTTTAAAATAATATATATATATATATATATATATATATATATATATATATATATATATATATATATATATATATATGTCTGTGAATTATTCTACAATTCTAGCGTGGTACCACTCAGCGGTTTCGCTGAGCGTGTAGTTTGTATTTTTCGTTGACTATACATAGGTAACAAGAGGAAAAATAACGGAACAACTCCCGGAGGGCATTGAGTCAAAGGAGATGCAAGGATTGTAGGCAAATTTTTGATTCATCATTTTTAATGTGTCATGATTCGATTATTATTGTACTTCCGCATTACTCCAAAAATATTTTCAAATGGGTCGCGATCTAGACTCTGTAGATTTAACATTTATAAGAAATTGTCATTTTCAAATGTCAAGCGAAATTTTTATTTAAATCCGGTTTCATCTTGATTCGTGTAATTCCGGGTTATAGCACCGATCAACTGGGTCAAGTTCGGGATGATTCACATGGCCGATGCCGCCACCATCGCCCACAGTCGATTCTGTCCTATGCATTCTTGGTGAAGGAGATTCTTGAGTGGGCTAAAGTCATCATCACCACTGGCCCGCTCACCAAGGCCACGAAGACGTGGACCATCAACAACCAATGCTTTAAAAAGCGGTCGGACAACACCGCCCTGGCTCACGCCAAATCGAAGCTCCTGGCTGAGCCACTCTTGCCTCTGATACCAACTCCATTCAATGCTTAAGCCTCATGGCTAACGGGATGGGCAACACCATTGAGTGCATTGGTACGGGAGTTCAACGCCAAGGCTATGTCATGCAAGCGTACTTTGACTGTGTCCACTTTGTGCACCCGCCGTATCAATCCGCCTTCCTTGGCCAAGACTATGCCGCTTTTGACAACGACGAGTCTTACGCCCCCTTAGGCTCATCGGATGATGATGAGCTAGATGAGGAAGTTGATGGCATTCCAATGGACGCGGAGGATGAGGACAACGGGGATGAAGATGATGACTAGGACTTGGCTCCCAAGAATTTCTCACTTTTTCTCTTTTATCTCTTTTTACTTTATGTTTTTTATGTTTTATGCTTTCGTTGTGTACTCCGTATTTCCTTTAAAATAATAGATTCTTTATGCTTTATAAATCATTTTGTTAATGTCAAAAGGGGGAAGATAAAAACAATGCATAGAGTAAGGGGGAACACGTTTTCTAAACGAACCTTTTCTAACTTATGCATACACTAAGGGGAAACTTTTTAAACAATCCAAAACCACCCTTTATATGCATATCCCCTTCTTGTTTGCCATTATCAAATGTGTAAAATTGTTGGAACACATTTTACAATAATGTTGTACTAAAGTGATGTTCGATTTTTGGCAGGTTTTGATAAATGTCAAACCATCGTGGATATGAAGAAGCTTCGTAGACATCGCAAGGCGTGAAACCAAGCTTGGAATAAGACCCAAAAGCATCAAGAACAAAGACCAAGATGAAGACTTAGACTTAGGATTGAGTTGGTCCAATTGTGATCAAGACCGGCTTTGGTCTTCAAGTCTTATTTCTCAAAAGCTAAAACACATTTTACAAAAATCATGATATCATTTTTATGCATCACCCAAACACTTTCCTCAAATGTTTTAAGTTGGTAAAAATAGTTGGTTGTTGCCTGAACCAAAACCACAACGGTTGGTGATCGGTGTTGGTGTTCGGTGTCCAAAACGACTAAGTGGTTTTTAACTTTTTATGATTGCTTTTTACTTCTAGGCATATTTTAAGGGTTTCCCAACAAAAACTTTCTAAAACCCACCTTTGGTTTTCAGTCATTGGTCAAAACCGTCTTAAACCGTTTTTAAGTATTTCCAACATTTGGTTTTTAATTTGGGAAACTTTGATTTTTGACATCGGCTTTTGGCATTGATTGCCCAAACCATGGTTCCGGTGACCAAACCCAACACCGATGTTAAAACCTCAACAAAGTTGTTATGGCCAAGTATGGGAAAACCTAACTTTGGTAGTAGGATTCAAAAACAGTGATGTTGGAGTTCAAACATTGATGTTTAGCCAGGCCTCAAGAAATCTTGATTTTGAACATCAATGCTAATTTCCTTCTTTAGAAGTGAACACTTCCAACAGCAATGTTAGGTTTATAACATTGATGTTGAGGTGACCGTTTGACAATCAAAAAGGAAAGTCAAAGCCAAAACGTCGATTTTCAGTACTTGAACATCGATGTTAGGAATACTTTCAATAGATCCACTTTTGATTTAATTTCCACAAATCATGCCAATCAACCCGAATCTTCTCTCAACCGATATGATCTGAAATCGAATATATTCAAAACTGATTCTTCAATTCCTAACAATCAATATATTATATTTATGTACATTAGTGAATAATTACGCTCATGTGATTTTAAATTTCTACTTTAATTTTACTATTTGAACTAGTAATATACTCCCTCTGTCCACAAATAAACTTTACGTTCACTATTCACAGGGTCAAACTTTATTCACTTTGTTGGCCTATTTTCGTCACCTATTTAATAAAATAATATAGTCATGTCACCTCCAGTTTTGTAGATCTTTTGATATAGTTTTTTAATATGTAATTTTTATTTATCAATTCTACACCATTTTTCATATAAAATTATTTGAAAATAACTTCAGTCAAACATCGTAATGCGCAATGTAAAGTTTATTTGCGGACGGAGGGAACATACTTATATTACTTACTCTCTACATTCCAAAATGAATTATCATATCTAAACCGTATGCAACTTACACAAGAAATATCATATTAAAGTTTATTCAAGCGCGGTTAAAAAATTAATTTCTAGCCAGTAGCCACTCCCTCAAACAAGAGTTTTTGAGTAGTGTAGTTGGCCAAACGTGTGCTCTGAATTACATTTAATTTCACTCAAGTCTTACCTAATTACATTCAATTTCAATCAATATAAACAAAATTTAACCACATTGTATATAGTTTCATTAACAACAACTAAATTGCGTCCCACGTGAATAGGGTCAGAGGAGGGTGTGTCTACACAGACGGTGCCCCTACCCATAATGTGCAGTTTCATAAAACATCACTTAGTTTTTACCTAGTCGTATTCAATCTAAACCAACTGAAGCAATTGTTGGACGTAAAATTGAATGAATTTCACTAAGTCTAACTTAATTTTAATTAGTTTTCATGTAGTTAGACTCAATTATATTTGATTGGAACAAAATATTATTCGAATTTAGTTTTTTTCGCTGCATATACTTAATTCAAACTTGTATTTGTTGTATTTCATTCAGTTGGATTTAATTTTATCTAATTTCAACCAAATGCATTTAACTACACCTAATTTTACTTCAAAATAACGTAATTATATTCTATTTCATCTAATTAAGGATACAATTGATTTAATTTTAACTAATTCCAATAAATTTTGCACTCATTTTGTATTCACTCGCATTCATTGTAATAAATTCTTGAAGTAAAATTGAATGAGTCTCGATTAATTTCATCTAATTTCACTAAATTTTTACCCTACCCGCCAAATGCATTCAATTTTATTCAATTGAAATGAAATACTATTAAAATTTAACTTTTATCTTTGTATATATAAAGGTAAAGATAATACAAGTTATGAAATATTAATATATTAAAAATACATGCTAAAATCGAACCAACTATATTAAATTTATATCATAACTAAACGTACTTTTTTCATTATTCGTAGTCTAAATTTGTAAAACATGACTAAAAAATAAAAAAAATGAAAGATTATTTAGGGTGGAGAGTGTAAAATTAGAAAAAAAATATAAAATAATATGAGGTGATGAATTGATGATAAATTGATATAAGGGCTATGACAAAAAAAAGAACGCAGAAAATTAAATTTTAATTCAAAAATAACATAAATGCAAAATAAATCTAAATTTGAAATATACCATAATCAAGGTATATCTGAAACTGAAATATATCTGAATCAAAATATATTCGAAATCGAAATGATTCCGAACTGGTTGATATCAGAACTGTATTTGAAGTGACCAAGAACAGGAATATATATAGAACCGAATCAAATCTAAACCAAAATTAAAGTGAATTGATCAAACCAGGGGCGGATCTACTCCCAAACCATTGGGGGCAAATGCCCCCAACTAAATTTTGGTGTTAAACCATTAATTTTTTTAAAAACAAAAAATTATTATATTTTAGGGTGCATGCCCCCATCTAAAATTGGGATTGACCCCATCTCACATTATTTACTCCCTACAAAAATGAATGGAACCTTATTTAATTAAGCTAACTTGTAATTTTTTGTTTAATCTTATTGAAGTAATTGTGTTTAATTTATTGTTTAAAATAAAATTTTACATTACTGATTAAATAAAATTTTACCTTCAATAAATGTTTAAAATAAAATTTATTATTTTTGTCATTTTAAATTGTCTTTTTTTAATAAAAAATCAGGGGCGCTGCCCCGACCAATTGTGCCCCCATCTACCAGAATTTCTGGATCCGCCACTGGATCAAACCAAATCAATCATCTTAAAGATATTTGATCCAAAGTATTCCAAACTAGAACCGATTCAATTAATCCAATTGTCACCTCTAAGTGTATAAGTACGTTTTAATTACATTAAGGTCTCTTTGAGGACCGCAATAGTAACTTTAAGAAAATAACTTCCAAAAATGGATGTTTTTTTCTGAAATCATTTGGGTTTTCTGGTGTTCTGTTGGATGTGTGAGAGTCTGTGACTATCTAATATTGTTTGGTTCTTTAAAAGAAAATCTTTAAAATGAATGCCCAAAATAAGAAATTAAGAAATAGACAAAATTAAGAAGTTATCGCTCATACTATAATCAATGTTTAGAGAACTTTTCTTTTAAGTTTCTTACCAAGAAGAAAGATAGAAGGGGTGTTGGGAAAATCATCGCGTGTAGTGAGGTTCGAGCTTGTAACCTCTTATACATTATCCGAGTACGCGGCAACGAAACTACGACTACTAAATTCAGTAGAGGAATTGAAAAGAACACCAACGCCGAATCACTCCTCCAACTGGTAAACTGCAAGACCAGACGCTAAAACACTGCCCATCCATAGCTTGCCTTCCCTCTCCTCCACTTCACTTATGGCCTTCACAACTTTACCCTGTCTGTCTTCAAGAACTTGCAGAAGCTTACCTTCCGGGCTATACTTGACAGCAACTGCGCGCACGCGGCCTCCAATGTGCATAAGGTAATGAATCATTGCGGAAATGGGAAGCCTCAGCAAGAATTTCCTCAGCTTTGGGTACTCGCCGAACATGTAACTGTATAGAGTCCAGCGGGAGTGGATTGCCACCCAGAAATCGCCTCTTTCGTTAGCTCTTACATTGTCGGGGAAGCCAGGCAGATTTGCCAATGCTTCTGATGACCCAGATTTCTCCCCCTTCAGCCAGTACTTGCTTAATCTGCACATATCCCCACCCACATCAACTGATTATAGAAATGCTAGGGTAACACCAAGATATATATAATGCAACAAAAAAATTGTCTTGAAAATTGATGGTTTTAATTTCCATAACTTTTCCCCTTTCTATATCATGCCGCATGATCCAAACATACCATAACAAAGAAGCTACCAATTTATTTGGGTTGGAATGTTAGGACGGTAAAGAAATGAACGAAAAATTCGATCTCAAAATAGCCAAATATGCAGACACGAGATGGACAGAAATTACGCAATTATTCCTGTGAAATCGTCATTATAGATTGAAAGAGTGATGGACGACGTACCTGCCCCTGGAACCTTCACAGTAGACAAAGAAGGACCCGTCCTTACTAAGAGACACGCCATTTGGAAATTGGAGATTGCGCACAAGAACAGTGGTTTCTTTTGTTGCTTGGTTATATTTGAGAACTCTCCCCGAATCTTCTGCTGAAAACACAAGCTGCAAAAAGTTCCTGCAAGCACACAAACAAATTGGTAAAATATAAAAACCTTTCTTGGGGACTTGAATTGGTTCTTTCCAAAGCCTACTTCTTTGACACAAATATTGGGAATCTTCCAAAATATTTTGTATTTTGTAATACATATACATATACATATACATACATACATATATATATATATATATATATATATATATATTATGTATGTATAGACACACACACACTACAATTGAAAGAAGAACACCTTTCCATTAAGCGGTAATTACTAACCTCCTACGGTACTTAGTACTACTATCTGTGAAATAGATGTTCCCTTGATCGTCAACGTCCAAGTCGTTTGTAAAGGTAAGAGGTACTCCTTCAGCATGAGTTGAGACTGTGGTTGCAAGTCCGCCTTCAGGCCCAACCTTCAACAACCCAAAATATGCGTCTGCAATGTATAGGTCGCCTGTTCTTTTGTCGAAGCGCAACCCCAAAGGCCTCCCACAGATGTGCTCATTCTTCACAAAGCTCAAAGGCGTTGAGTTGGGTTTTGGGTCACATATACTTGACCTTACAATCCAAACCACAATCAAATACATGATTTATTACATCACCAACCACACCAAATACCATTTTTTTATTTTTTTTCTTGAAAACCATTATAACAGTAGATATAACAACACCAATAATATTTTCACAAATATCTGAAGCAATGCTGGCAAAGGGCTTGATTGTATGAGTGGAATCCAATGTATAATGCCAACTTAAAATGTCAATGAATTGTACAACAAAATTAAGGGTTAAATATGATTTTTAGCCCTTGTATATTTTTTTTCATTCAAGTCATCCTAACAAAATTTCTACTTTTGAAAATGATGCTTAAGCGTAATTAACATCTTTAATTAGTTGAGATAACAAATTTATTTCATGCTCAACATCCTAGTCTTGCATTTCAAATCACCTCGGGCACATTCCTCATGCCCTAAATTTTCTTATTCATATTACATCTCCGGTTTCCAAATTTTTTGGAATATAATTCAATAAATTTTGGGAATTGGAGACGTGATGAAACACACAGTTTATCTCATGAGAATTGTGTATGTGGTCATTAAGAATGCAAGATGAGGATGTTGAATACGAAACAAATATACTATTTCAACAAATTAGAAATCTTAATTACACTTATGGTGTTTGGTGAGTAAAAGAGATATAGATTTTGATATCTCTAGATATCAGAACCATTTTTTGTTGTTTGGTAAAGCCAAAACAGATATCGAGTTTGATATAATATCATAAATCCTCCAAACAAAAGATTTCGGTATCTCTCGAATTTGGGAGATATTAATATGAGGATTTGATATCTCTCTCAACCGTTGACCCCTCTCTGCCACCGGCTACCATGTCACCGCCAACCACCCCGTTGCCGGTCACTCCCGGCTATCACTAATTAAATCATGATTTTAAATTTCTTTAAACAACATCGTTTCAGATTTCAAACTCATATAATTTCTTTTAGATTTCAAAACACGTATTTTATCATACCTTCAAACTCACCAAACGGGCCCTTAAGCACCATTTTAAAATTAAAAAAAAAATTGCAAGGATAAATTAAACAAAAAAGGGATCAAAAATAGAAATCACTTATTTTAATTGGACTAAAAAGATATTTAACCCCACAATTAATTATGTAATAACAAAAGTTTCAAAAGCAATTGAAAGAATTCCAAGAAAGGGAATGATTGGGTCACCTGTTGGGGGAGGTATAAGCGAAATCGACCCACTTCTGGCCGTTCCACATCACAACCCTCCCATCGGCGACTCCGGTGTAGGGACCCCGCCCTTGGGGATCGAAGGCGATGCTCTCGGGTCCGTGAAGAACGTCCCGGAACTTGATTTCCGACTTCTGGAGCAGATTCAGGGTGTCCTTCTCCAGGGGGAGTTCCGACCACGCCGGCATGACCACCTTGTGCACCTCGAAGCCGGGGAACTCCGAGAACGCGCCGTGCTTGAATGGGTCAACGGCGCAGTACACAGCCACCAGTAGAAATATTCCGGCGAACACTCCGGCGGGCTTCATCGCATCTGATTTTGGGAAAACCTGCATTATGCTGGGAATAAGAATTATATCATCCACAAAAATTAGGGGTATATCTTCCTTGGGTTGTATTTACCGGTAAGAATAGATGAGCCTGGATACTTATGTTTCCTGATTATAAGTACAAAAATTATGGTGTCTTGATCTTCTCCTAGTGAGACCTTTATGGGGAGCGTTGCCTATCTACCGCTTAGTTATTACACAGCTGCTTTCCTTTACTTCTTTACACAGCTGCTTTTCTTTTCTTTGCTTTTTTTGGGAGTCAAGAAAATTAAAATTAGAGGGTGGGTGAAGAATGAGTATAGATAAATATGTGGTGGACAAGTAGGTAGAGACAAGGTTAGTAACAAATGTGGGAGGTGTGTAGCACGATCCCGTACTACTTAGTTTGTTTGCCCACCATTGTGCTATAGGTGTGTATCACGTCCATCACGGTCAATTGTTTTATAATTTATTTAAATCAAAATTAATTTTAAAAAAATATTAAATAAATAATTCATTAATATTAATATTAAAATTATATTCATACGATAAAAAAGTTCAATTATTAAAAAGCAGAGTATAAGTATTCGTAATCCGGGAATGAAGGAGCGCAATTCCACAAATGTTAAACTATACCGGCACGAAGGTTGTGGTGTGTATGCGTATTATGTAACACAAACCTGTTGATATCTTGTTGTGTTTCATCAACAGGTTCAACGTTAACATGGTGATCGTTCAGGTCTTATTCGCATATCCCACGTCCTTCGTCTTCGATAATCATGTTATGTTGGATGATGCAAGCGTACATAACATTTCGTAAAAATTTTTTGGTGTGAAAGCTCGCGGTGGATTTTGCACAATGTGTCATTTTTGCTTAGGCATACCAAATAGACAGTCCACGTCTTTTCTTCCCGATTCTTGATATTTTGCAAATTTATTTTTCTTTGGTTCCTTTTGACTATATTCGTGTAGTCTGAATTGATACCGTCAACATGAAAATACTAATGCATGTACTCCACCCTAGAAAGAGAAAAGGAAGTGTCGGACGCGGTATCCTGTATGATTTCGTTGAATATATCCAACTATCCAAGAGCGTTCAAATCCTTGTTCGAATCGACCATCCAAAAGAGGCATGCCAAATCCATATATCATGAGAGGCTACAGCCTCAAGCACCATTGTGGGGTTCTCGTGATCACCGCGCATAAATTGTGCACACCATGCATTGGGAAAAGAGTGAAATACCCAATGCATACAATCAATATTGCCATACATGCTGGGAAATCCAGTCAGGCTTTATGGGCGGCGTATAACACTTGTAAGTCTTTCTATGTGGGTCTGTGCAAATATTGTTTGTTGTACGATCTGATAACCCATTTGTAATACTTGTACATGCATTCTCACACCGTTTGATCAGACATGTGCAAATACTCATCGAGGGCATCTGCATAGTTGGGCATCATGTTGCACATGCCAAATCACTCGCAATACGGAGCAAAAGACAACGACTCGTGAAAAATCTACGCCTTTTCGGTGAAGATCGCGGTTTCAAAAAAATAATCCGAAAATAATCAGTCGTGCCCACCTACGCATTAATTTCATAAAATATTTAAAAAAATATTATTAAAAAAATATGTAATTAATTTATAGTGTGAGATGAAAAATATCAAAGAATACTTTTCTTATATCTGTCAAGGGCTCTTTTTCCTATTTGTGGTTCGAACGGTTGATCAGTTTGTTGTTGTTGTGTAATAATCTGAACCGCGTAGACCATGATATTCATGAAGAGAGCTTCTACTTCGACGGAATCAGAGGACGTCCACATTGTTATAAAAAAGGGGATGAAAATTTAAAAAAAGAGTAGAAGACAATTGTGTAGAACGTCTGAAGGTGAGTGGAGAGAATAAGTTTAAATAATAGAAAATAAAAAATCGGGGGAACTAGTTGGGGGAGTGGAGCATGCGTGATTACCGTGATGGGCATCACCACCATCGCGATCACGCCAATGAGGGGAAGCGTTCCATGGGAAACACAGGCTGAGGTGGTGCCACGTGGCCATCACGGTGCACCTCGAGCTGACCATAACGTTCACCCTTGGGCCCGAGGGTGTAATAACCCTTTTTCCTTTTCTTGTTCGGTCAACTCAGCGTCACTCCAATTCTTTCTTTTATTTCTCTTTTCCTTCCTCTTTTAGGGTGTGGTTATGTTCCCTGTTGGACATAAGTTCAAACCTCTTTTGGATATTCTTTTGAAATTATTTTTCAGCATTTGATAAATGACAAACACAACGACAAACGAAAATTTTATTTTCGTTTCAAGAAATCAAATAGGCGTATCAAGAATTTATAGAATGATAAAACTCAGCGTTCCAATCCCTTGGCAAGATCTTTTAGAAGTGAAGTGAAGATTCAAAAGACTTTAATTTTTATTGAGTGGTGGGAACAATTGTAAAGATGACAAATATTTTTCACTTAAACAAATTATTTTTGAGGGTTATACTTCAAATTTTATTATTTTTAGAGTTAGTTGGAAAATAATTTTTCTTTGTCTAAAACTATTCTTTTTGAGTC